GCACAATAACTACTGTCCAATTTTACACAGAAACTGAATTAACTCCAGGCCACAGTCCCAGCCCCATCCTCCAGCATGTGAGGGAATTCAGTCTGCCTGTTTCTCTTGTGCCCAGACGGCTAGCATCAGACCTGATAAACTCAGCAGGTTTGTTCTCCAATGGGAGCCCTCCACAGAAGCCCAGATGCTGCAGGAGTTGCTGTTGTGTCAGTTCAGAAGACAGCGATAGGGTCTGCCAGGCCGTTCCTGCCAAATAAGGTTGGAACAGCTGCCCTGAGCACTTCATTGTTACAGAGCTCATCTCAGCTGAGCTGGCCTTTGCAGGGGTTTAGGGTGAGACCTACCTTCCTTGGGGAAGACAGTAAGTCTTGAGTGGCTTGGTAGAAGACTATGACTGAAAGTCACGCTGGCTAGGATGCTAAGGTGAGTCTGAGCTCAGACAGCATGCTCCAGCAGAGCAGAGGGTTAAGGCTTGCCTTAATTCCCACTTAGCAGATATGGCTTGTGAGAAGGACGTGCAGCAGAGAAAGCCTCCAGCATGAGATGCACCTCATAGGAAAGGGCACGTTTCAGATGTGAAACTGAAATCCTCTGGCAGCTGAGATTTTTCCAGAGGCCCCAGCTGTTGAGTTGGCCTCTGGCTTACAAACCCATGCCACTCTGCTTTGAGCTGGGATTTTAGTACAGATTCCAGTGTGAGTGTGTTATGCACGTTATTCTTCACCCCCCCCCACCCAAGTTGCTGTACCCTGTGCTATTAAACAGTTGGTGCATTTGATACCTGAGGAGACCAGCTTTCATCGTAGGGTGTGGGATCCCTACAGATTGCTTGGAAGAGGTTTCAGGCTCTTTTCTGCAGTAGATAATGCAGATCGTGGTGGTGGAATGGAATATGTGTGAGAGCTGCCATGCTCTGGTGGTGAGCACAGTCGTGTCTAAAAACGCTGAGGCTAACAACTTCCTTCATGTCACTAGTTGAAATAAAACCCAGATCAGTAGTGACCAAATAGGGTAATGCAGAATTAGAGAGGGTTCAGAAAAGGGCAGCAAGAATGATTAGGGGCCTGGAAAAGATCTCATCTCAGGAGAGATTGAAAAGGTTGGGGTTGTTTATCTTTAGAGAGCAGATGAATAAGAGGGGTCATGACAAACTCACATAAAACAAGGAGTGGGATGGAGAAGGGAGACCAGGAGATCCGAAGCTTCTGTTCCTGTCTCATCACAGATGAGCTAGGGGAGATAAGGTGAAACTGGAAGGTGGGCAATTCAAAACCAACAACTTTCACCTACAGTACAGTTGGACTTTGGAACTCATTGCCACAGGTGGACACCAAGGCCCAAAATCTTAGGGTTCAAGAAGGGGCCAGCCATTCCTGTTGATAACAGGATATCTAGTGTTAATGATGACAAATTCTGGAAATGAGATTAATCCTCATGTTTCAGCACTTAAGACCAACTTTACCCAGCAGAAATCAAGACACTTTTTTCCTCAAGTCATCTGACACTGGCCCTGACTCGATGCAGAATACTGGACTATGTGTCTGGCCCAATCTGGCAACCCCTCTGTTCCCAGAAGTGACTGGTTGCCATCATAGGGCCTGTTTGGTGGCTCTTCTGGGATAAATCATTCATAGATTCATAGATGTTAGGGTCAGAAGAGACCTCAGTAGGTCATCGAGTCTGACCCCCTGCCCTGGGCAGGAAAGAGTGCTGGGGTCTGATGACCAGCTTGTCCAGTCTCCTCTTGAAGACACCCAGTGTAATCATGGGCCAGTCCAGTTCCTAGTGGAGGTGTGATTGGGACTGCCATCCAAAGAACCAATTACAAGGGCAAAGGCTAGAACGATCTAGCTGAACTATTCTTGTACCTTTACAAGCTGGGGTCTGGGGCCCTCAGGTGGTGTGCTCTGGGGGAAAGGTTGCTCAGCGGCTCTGAGCTTGCCCATTCCTAGGGGTTTACTGGGGGTATTCTCCCCAGTCACCAAGCAGATATAGGTAACCAGCACCAGCTGCCTTTACAAAGTGAACCAGGCAGAGGCCATCCTCCTATCCCAGCCACTTGATACATCTCTTGGGAAAGCCCTATCCCTGGGAGAAGCAGCAAAGGAAACTTCTTGGAGGATACTTGGGCCTTCCTCTAACCTTCATTTCCTATTGCTGCTTATGTTCGTGTGACCTCCCCACCAGCACTAGGAGTCCTGGTGTAGATTGGCAGCTGGTGTTGCAACCCTGTCATGTCTGGGCCCGCTCTCAGATGGGTTAGGTAGCGCTGGGAGGTGGATGGTCATTGCTGACTTGCCTAGAGCTGTGGTTCTCAATCTTTTTTGAACCAGGACCCAGTTGTAAATATTGGACAGCCCTGACCCAGTGCCCCTCACTCCTGAACCACTGCCCCCCGACCCCCAGTCTCCCAGTGTGTGAGGCAGAGGGTGGATGTGTGGGACAGGTGAGGTGTGTGTGGGGCATGGGGGGCCCCAAGCAGCTCCTTGCAGGCTGGAACTCTGCCAGCCTGCAAGGGGAAAGCCAAAGTTTCTCGTGTTTTTCTCCTTTAAAGGAGAATCCATTTTTAAAGATTGATGGCAACCCTTTCATATATTTTTACAACCCACTCTTGGGTCATGACCCATGGGTTGAGAAACACTGGCCTAGAGCAGAGCTCCCACTGTGACTACCAGCAGGGACAGATTATCCCTTTAGTTGGTCCTAGGCAAACAAACTCATGGGCCCCTACTTTTTTCACTCAATAATTATAATATGTAAAATAAGCACAACTGGGCCCCTTCTTCACTTAGGGCTCTTGGCGTGTGCCTAGTTTGCCTACACGTTAATCCAGCCCAGACTACCAGTTACAAAAAGGGAAAGGTTAAGGCAGACATTGGCTCTGCCTTGGTGGCTGCTGTTCAGATCAGAGTTCCTGGGGATTTGAGGAGTGAAAAGGGAAATGACAGGGCATTGTGAGTAGGAGTTCGAGAGGATTAAGCTGTCTGCTGCAGGCCACAGAGAAGAAGAGTCTACGAGAAAGAACAAGTCTGAAGAAAAGAAGAATGGGGGGAAGAGGCAAGAGCTAAAACCTCCCTCCTCCCCACATGGCCATTCTGGCTGATCATACCCTGCCGCATGACATCTTCTAGTAAGGGAGCTTGGCCATGAGCTAGTACAAATGAGGAAACTTCTCCCCCACTCTGGAATCCCTTCCCCAGACTCGGGGCAATAGTGGCACTGTGCCATGTTAGCTGTTGTTGCCTCCTTGCTGGTGTGCTGGCCAGGCATCTGTGTAGCTTGTGGGTGCATTAAGTCCACTCTCAAAATCTCTGTTGGGGCAGGGCTACAAGGAGTGGCTATAGAGCTTCAACGAGTGCAGGGGGTACAGAATCCCTGCAGTGACATCCTGCCCCAATCAAAACTGTACTGGTTCTGTTGCATTCACAGTATTGCCCTGCTCCTAATCAGCCTGCAGTAGTGAGTCTCGAATGATTAAGCATCACCCAGCTGAGATGAAGACCAGTTAAGGGACTTCTCTGAGACTACATAATGAGTCAGTGACAGAACAAGGATCAGAAGCCCTGCTCTAACCACTAGATAGGCTTCCTCTCCTGGGGATCACAAACCAAATCTTTGTTCCCTCCTGATGGTAAAGTCTCTACACTTTCCCCTGGAACTGACAATGCACACGGTGGCATGTCCTATACTGCTAAATTATTAATGTTTATTGTAGCCGTAGCTCAGGATCCACCAAGAATGGGGCCCACTGTGGTAGACGCTGTAAACAGCAGCAGACAGTCCTTGAACCACAGAGCTTATAGTATAAATCAGTGATTCTTACCCAAGGTGCTGCAGCACCCTGAGGTGCCTTGAGATCCTTTCAAGGATGTCATGGGGCATCACACAATGTAAGCACTGTGAGGTGTGCAAACATGTTTCACAAGACAAACCTGGAGATTTCAAATAGGAACCTCCAGTGCCAAAAACAATCTGCCCTCTTGTGATCTTTCTATGTTCGTAGCAAAAGGAAAATTGTTCTATTATTTTTCTGTAGTCAGAAGTGAATAGAGTGAATATTAACAACTGCATTTTCTGAAGGGTGCCTCAAGTCTTAAAAGACTGAAAACCACTGGTGTGAACAGATGAGACAGACTGGGGAAGGGTAGAACACACCAGCAGGATGAAGCTGCATGTCAGTGCCACAACTGCTTTGCGGGGTAGCAAGGATGGGATCAGTACAATGGCAAGAGAAGGGGAGGGATGAGGGGACAAGGCTGGGGACAAGGGGGCATGTGTGGACTGAAGCAAAGTCACTGTGGTGGCTGGGAGGTTGGAGTAAATGGCCTCTCAACACAGAGCAGGGAATGTCTTGTCAGGACATGGAGTTTTCTCAGCTCCTCTCTGCATTCTCGCCCCTCAGCACCATACTGGGGAGGCGGAGAGGTGTTACCTTGGTTTTACTTTTAGTGCCCATTGTGTGTGTAGCATCCCCCCTGCAGAGTTCAGAGCCAGGTGCTGCCCAAGGTCTCCTTCAGCATGTCATACTCTCCTCTGAAGAGGCTGAAGAAAACCCAAGATGCATCACAGCAAAGGTAGAACAAGACACTGAGCTGAGTCTCAGGATGAAAGTGTGCCAGTGGCTATCTAAGATCTCCCTTCTCCATGCAATGACTTTTTTCCCTCCAGTCCCCATCTCTAGCACCAGCAGCATTGTCTTGAGCCCTGGGCTTGTGGTCTTTTTCAAGCCCCCTGGATCTCTGATGCCAAGCTATAGTCAGGTCCTGGAGCCTCTCTAGTCACATTTGCTAGGGGCAAGAAACCCCACTGAGAAGTGCTGATACTGGCCTACCCCAAACCCTGGACATTACCCATCCTGTTATCTCTGCTCTCACAAGCTACCAGCCACCTTGGATAAATGATGCTCCTTTTAGGCCACTCTAAACAGGGCATAATCCCCAGAAAAAACCTTGGCTGCCTCCAGAGCTGGCCCAGAAGACTGATGTAGGATGGTCCCTTACCTTTGTAGGAGAGACGAAGGCGAGGGGCACCTTGCTTCCAGGCACTGCTGGTCTCAGTGCTCAGCATGAGAATCAAAACCATCAGGGCAGGAGCAGAGAGAAACAGGCTTCGGAGGATCAGGGCTTTCATCCTGACTCTGGCTGGGGCTCTGTTCTCAGGTGGCTAAGCAATCCCTCTTTCACGGGTGCATGTTGTGTCTCGGGAGATTCTGGCTCCACTTCCAGCTGAAAACAGAAAAGGAGAAACTGCATCTTTGTGAGCCCTGCACTAAGGTTCTTGGGGTCTTACAGCTTCTGTTCTCCACTGGCTAGACTGGGGTCCCTTTACATTACTGCAGATCTAATTAAGTGATCACAATTCGGGCCTGGTCCTCATTCAGTTTCTGGTCCAATGGAATCGCAGTGGTGCAAACCACTAAGGCAGATATATCACATATATACCTTTTGCACCGGTATAGCCACATCAGTATGGGGAGATCAGTGCAAATCCCCCAGTAATATTCCAGTATCACTGTGGAAACTCTTTTCCAACAGAAAAGGAATCCAGCTCTTTTCCCATTCACAGCACTGCACAGTCCTCCTGGTGCATTCTGAATAGATCTTATATGTAGCTCCATTACACCATGCTTGCCATCGCTAGCCCTCAAAGTATGTTAGAGACTTAGCCCCATTTTACAGATGGAAAGCTGGTAAGGTAAAAGGAGTCAATTGCATTCCCCAGTCCTAGAGCAAGCCAGTGTCACAACCAGGGCTTGTTGTTTCAATGACCAAAGCACTTAGGCTTCATGTGAGATCAGAGCTCTTCTGGGCCATGCACTGCACAGACACCAAGTGAGAGAGACAGACCTCATCCAGAAGAGCTCATGGGAAAAGCAGTGACAGTTGTATGATTGTGCCATCATCATTTGCACCAAACAGCTTTACCAATATAAGCATGTCTCCATCTATGTCAACCCTTTACAGCTGTAAATGCAGCTTCCTCAGTAAGCCATGCTATGGTTGAAAGCCTGGTCAAAGAGATGCATCAGTCCCTGAGGACTGATGTGTCGATGCATTACATATAAGAGGGAATTCAAGACATAGCATTGACATATATTAATGGCAGTGTTTGCACCAGCATCATGCTTTATATTCTGGAGCCCCTTATGGGAGTGGAGCCAGAACCTGAAGATTTTCCAGTAACTTCTGGAAAGGAGTATGGAGATGAACAGAAACCACTTGTCAGCTTAGCACCAACAGGACATGCCTTGCTGTGAACGACAAGTCTGAGAGTGACTCAGAACTGGTGTAGCATGAGGAAAGTCCTCAGAGCTTGGGCTTATGTTGATAAAAACCTTCTCAGACCTATAGGATCACATACTCTATCTAGAGCCCTGTCAGAAGTCTCTGTGCTTTTTCCTAGGTTTTGCCTGATTTCATTTTGTAGCTAAATCTTGCCCTCCCACCCAATACCCATTATACCACAACAAGGAACTGACATTTTGGAGGGATACTATTTAAACTTTCCTTTTGTGCCTGTGTTTGTGATAGTATGCTTGGAGCCTCTCAGCCTTCTCTGTTCATTACAGATAAACCAAGACTATCAGAGTTCATTAAATTTTCATTGCTTGGGACTGAAGAGCTCTCTTACCCCCACGTTCTTGCATTCATATACATGCTCGTGTGTTATTCCCTCATACACACACTCCCATACATCCTGTATAGGAGGGCAGCTAGGTGGACAATTTGCTGCAAGTATTTATCCGGTGAATGTAGCCAGTTTTCCTGTTCATAATTGTTCTGATCTCCAACTCTCAGCTCTGCATGTTCAATACTTACGCTTTGTGTTTGGTCCCCTGAGTCGTATGGTTTTCCCTGATTGGATGGCTGGAAATTAACATAGAGGCATTTGGTCTGATGGGGCTTTTATAACCGCAGGGACAGTGTAGGAGTGAACAAGCAGCAGCAACTCGGGGACTAAGGCATTTAAAGCTCTTTTGTTTCCTCCATAAGAAGGAACATTTGATTGAGCTATGGACATGAACCCAACACTGGATTTCATGCCTGACTGAGGTAGCAGGGGAGAAATTACCTAGAACTAGTGGCTGGTTGGTAGCCTTTCCATGCAATTTTCTCTTCTCACATTCACAAAGTCCTTGTGCATTGCAGTTATGGGGGCAGCCCTGCCTAGGTTCCTCTGCGGTCTAAGGGCTTGTCTTTGCTACAAAGCTAATCTTAGTTATTGCTTGAGGCCCATCCATGCACACAAACCCATAACTCAAATATGTTAGTGCTTTTAACCAAGTTGGCAGGCTTCTTGGGAGGTAGAGTAAAGCCTGAGTTAGCAACTTCTCAGCTTCTAATATGACCAGTCTATATTGGATGCAACCTAGTGCTCCAGTGTTTTCTAACAATGCCATTTGCCCAGGAAGAACAGACAAATCCTCCAACAACATGCTGAAAAAAAACTTAGAAGAATCAGGTTGCAGCAGCACTCAGATCTGTAGGATGTACTCAAAAGTCTTTGCCCCTCACATGAGTGAGGATACTATAAGCATGGGCACAACAATCCTTGTTTCACAGTGTGGCTGCTCTCAGTTGAGCTAGGTTTTCTCGAGGGGTAACTTGAGAGTTGGTAATTCACATTCAATCTGGAGCAATTGCATACTTTTGTGATCACTCAGCTCTTTTACAACACTAGACATTGCTAGGTGTGTCCTTCCCTATGACTCCCAAGACAATATTTCATAGGAATCTGGCAGAGGTACAGATTGGATTCAAGGTTCTATATCTTGTACCACCATTCATTGTGCTACTAAGCCCATTTCCAGTCCTATTTCAGAAATCTAGGTACTTACTCTCAGCTCTCATTTCATTCTCTGCTTCAGTCCTAGACCTTGAGAGATGGGTGTCAAGAGGCTGGCTATGAACCTACCTGCCCTGCTTTCCTGTGTACTGGGAGGATGCCTCAGCACAGTTGCGATTTTTAGCTTATCCAAAAAGATCCAGTGTCATGGCCATGAAACAAAGATAAACCATGAGCTTTTGGGATCCACCCTCTTTCCTAGACCTTGGCTGCACCCTGAAGAAATGCTGCCAATCCAGTGGTCATCATAAGGGCACAGCTGGGGCTTGATGGAGATGTCTGCCAGCACACACTGGTTGCTGGAAGCCTTGGGAAAATGCTAGCCAGTAATTGTAGCTTGCTATAAATGGAACATGCCCGTACTGGGTTTAGTTCGGGCATGGTGCGCAGATGGGGGAGGGAACCCCGTGGGACCCAAAGCCCCAAGATATTCCTGGGCGCTGCAGGGTTGTGTAAGTTGTAGACAAGTCAGAGCCCTAGCCCTGCATGTACCTCAAACATAGGCCTTCACATTGGGATGAAATAATGGGTCTGGGGGGTATGGCAGGTCACTCACCCTGGCAAGGCTCACTTCTGCTGAGGTATTCAAGGGAAAAATGCTCACTGGTTTCAGTGAGAGCAGAATCAAGCCTCAAAAGGAGATCCTTGTGTAACAGAGCTGTCCTAGGAGAGGGCAATGTTACCACTGATGGAAGGGGCACAAAGTACAGGGAAGTTCTGTGCTTCTGTTCCAGCAGTGAATTTGGCCCAAGGCCAGCAAGCAAGCCATGGCTTTGGATGCCAAGGGGAAAGAGACAAGGTACATAGGATGCAGACATGTAAAATGGATCATCTGTACCTTTTGTGCTAGGCCAGGCCTTAATTTAAATGCAGCCTCAAACCAATGTTGTTTTGCCTGCATCACCAGATCTCATATCTCCTTACTGGGCGCAAAGCTAATGAGGGACATTTGTCTTCCCAACTGCCCTTGTCCTGTCTTGTTGTCATTGACCACTGCACCAGTTTGGTAAAGGAAGATGTAACTAACCAGCGAAACTCCCTGCTGTTGGGTATATTTGAGGCAAGAGGTTTAGTGAGGTTCAAGAAAGGATTGGACAGTGAAAAGCAAAGAAAATAGCATCCCACTGTTACACTGTCAGGGGTGAAAGTCCTGTGCTCCAGAGCTTTTACCTAACTTGGTGCCAGAGACAGGATAACAGATATCCTGGTCCATTCTGCAGTGGCCAGTCCTCTATTCAAGAAACCATGATGGCAGAGCAGGGTAGGGCTGGGAGGCAAGGGTAGGGGCCGGCCCAGGGTTTGAGGGGTGTGTAGCAGTTCAGGACTAAAGTGGCAGGAGAGACTGCAGGACAGGTTTGAAATGCACAGGCAAATGCACAGGCTGGGAGTTTCTACACTGGGAGCCTACATGCTTATCACCAAGAATTTGCCCCATTAAAACAGCATCATCTCAGAGGAACAGAACTTGCTTGGAAGATTATTTTCGACACAAAAGGTTTTCCCCATGTTTTTTTTTGAGGGGGCCCACATGCACTAAGCCCCATTCCCTTAGGATCTCTCCTTGCAGCAGTGCCCCATCCATGCCAACCAGGTGTGCAGCAGTGTGCGTTTCTGCACACCTGCATGTGTCAGCTGGGAATGCAACAGCTGGTGCCTCCTTTCGTGACAGCACCCTGTCCATATAGAGTCAGCTTCAGCAGAGTGATCCTCACTCAGCAGTGCCTTATCCATGCCAGCTTATCTGGGTGAACGCTCCTCTCTACCTCACTGATGGATCATGGCCCCCTGCTGTAAACCTCAGAGGTGAATAACTTGTCACAGACAGAGTTTATACTGAGAGGGGGAGAGCAAGTGTTGAGTGGATGGAAACAAGTTGCAGATGGTGAATCCAAGGTTAAATTAAACACTCTCGACAGCTTTAAATAATCAACTGTCCAGAGGTATATGTATTTGCTGTCTTGGTATGAAAAGCGAACTGCTAGCAGTCAGTGAACTGCTTGAGTTGGGGGATTTCTGTGGGATTCAGAACTAGGGTCATAGTAGTGAAGGTCTTGTGCTCCTGAGTATCCTAAGAGTATCAGGGGGAGAAACATCAACTTTTGTGGACCCTGTTGTCATGGGAGTTGGGGAACAACATTATGGTAGTTCTTTTTATGAGGAGCTACTAAACTAACCTCTTAGGATAGAGCCAGACATAAACAGTAAAGGAACCATTCAAAGCTTTTCCCCTGCATCAAACTCCAATACTGCACTTCCAGTTATGGCCCCATATATCTGTGCCAAAACACACAGCCCCCCACCTTTATTCTGACCCTGCATCCTTCCTACCTCATCTCTGCCAGTGTACCTCCCCCAGACTTGCTCCATTCATCCCATGGCT